TTAGATAGGATCAATACCCACCATTTTTATCGACATGAATGGAACTGGAAGATATTATGCTAAGTGAAATAAGTCAAGCAGAGAAAGACAATTGTCATATGGTTTCACTCATATGTGGAACATAAGAAATACCATGGAGGACATTGGGAGAAGGAAGGGATAAATGAAGCAGGGGATAATTATAGGTGGAGGAGAACCATGAGAGACGAGGACTCTGGGAAACAGACTGAGGGTTTTAGAGGAGAGGAGGTGAGTGGATGGGTTGGCCTAGTGATGGGTATTAAGGAAGTCATGTATTGCATGGAGCACTGGGTGTTATACCCAAACAATGAATCATGGAACACTACATCAATAACCAATGATGTACGGTATGGTGACTAACATAACGTAACAAAAAAATAAAAATCTTATTATTCCAAAACTTAGAATTTACTAAGAAAAAAATATTTGCAAAGTTAATTATGAAGTGCTAAATTCCAAAGTATTTTAATCTACTCATATCAATTTGAACATGGGTATATACAGATGACTAATAAATGATTTGTAGATATGATAGCCATTTTGTAAATCTATCTCATGCTCATATGTAGATTGTTAGAATTCCCACAATTTCTGGGAAGAACCCCCTATTTTTAGTGTTGCATTGACTTGGTCATGGTTTCCCCTTGTTAATAGTCTTGTGCTCATTAACATCCTTGTAAGATGACTGTACACTGTTATTAGTTGGTCCTTTCTCCTTTGTGATGGCCTGGTGCCACCTTCATTGCTGTTTTATTTGGTCCAGAGCTTCTCCATAGAGTTTGACCCTGCAAAGTGGACCTTGAGTGATAGACAGGCTTCCATTGGAATTTCCCCAGAGTTTAATGGAGAGGACACCTGCATACACATCATTGTAACACAAGGTAAGATGTGACAGACTAATGTGAGATAGGAAAAGTACTGGGGAGTTTAGAGATTCCTTTCGGTGGTGATATTGCAGTTCTTAAAGATGTTTCTTTATTTTTTCAAGTAAATATTGTCAGTGCAATGCATTTTTGAAAAACAAATAATATAATATAGACCAGAAAAAGACCCACTGGTTTTATTTTTTATTTATTTTTTTAATAACTTTATTTATTTATGTGACAGAGAGAGACAAAGGGGGAGAGGAAATACAAGCAGGGGGAGAGGGAGAATCAGGCTCCCTGCTGAGCAGGGAGCCCGATGCATGGCCTGATCCCAGGACCCCGGGACCATGACCCGATTCAAAGGCAGAAGCCTAACAACAGAGCCACCCAGTCACCCCAAGTACCACGTGATTTAATGGTTGGCATCTTTCAAATGAATGAATATAGCAGGATTTTATTTTTTAAAATAGTTGTTTGTGGTCGGGATTCTTTCCAGTTTCTGATATTAAAGTAAAGTTGCTTCTCACCCTGGAGATGTATCTCTGCATCTCAGAGAATGTATTA